GACCTAGCCGCAGCCTACTTAGCCTATTATTTCTATTATATTTATTATATTAATTATATTTAATATAATCGATATAATTATTTTATTTATTATATTTAATTTATTTATTATATTTATTATATTAGTTATATTTATTATATTAGTTATATTTCTTATATTTATTATATCTATTATATTTATTATATCTTTATATGTAGTAACTTTTATATAAATAACGTTGGTATTTTCCTTCGTTATAAGTTAAGTTCCGATTAATTATTATTCTTGAAATTATAAAGTTCTATAATAAAGTATAACCTTTTACACTATAAACGAACTTCCTATTTTTAAGCGTGTCTTGTTTGATTGGATTTCAGTCATAGTTAAACATACTTAATCTCCCTAACTGCAAATCATAGTTAATCTATTCAACGTACCGAATCGGTTAACAACGCTCATCATATTAGCAATTTGAATAGCTGATAATTTTCTTAATGACTTATTATAACTATAAAATAAATCAAAATTAATTAATTATCAAATAAAAATTTGAATATAATAACAAATAAATACATAAAATAATACTAACCTATTACCCAATTCTTTATATTTGTTAAGGAGAGCGACCCAAAGCTTATTTCTCCAATCAATAAACAATTTTCTAACATGCACTACAAGTTTATCAATTATGTGAATATATTCCGCAATTGAGGGCAGCATAATTTTTACAAAATCTTGTAGCATGGCTTTATTATTGTCCAAATTACGCACTCTGATATAGAGAGCATGCAATTTATTTATTAACTCATTGATAATCCAATCATAATTTAAAAATTAAGAAATAATTAATAAATAATAATTAGTGGATAATAAATAAAGATTTATCACAACTTACATGATCAGAATTCTTCAAATATTCCGCAATTTCATCTTGAATATAGTATTTATCATTGGTTTGACAGTATAGAACATCTGGTGGGGTGGCCAATGTTCGTTCACTATAGGGAAATTTATTTGCAGAGGTAAAAAAAATCAGTGGCAGCCTGTAGCCAGCTACTTGTAGCACTTTTTCTTCATCATTACTATATAATTATTCAAGACATTAATTAGTAATTAATTTAGATAAAATTAAATATTAATATAACTTACAAAGGTTTTGTACGAGGAATTAATTCCATTCTAATTGTAAAAAAAAAAATTAATTTGATGATTTATTAATTATAAAAGATATTTTGTTAAATAACAATGGCTGAACTTACGAAGAAGCTATTTCTGAGTCACTTAATTCATCATCATTATAAATCTCAACGAATGCTTCTAGTTCCTGTGGAACTACGAAAAAATGATCTGTGATTATTTCCCTAACAGTTGGATCTTTTGCAACATGTAAATCCAAACAACGCAACAAGAAATCAATTGCTAATATAAAATAAGAGTTATTTAAAATAATTATATTTATAAAAAGTAATTTAACTTGTTGTTTACTTTACTTACAAGGTAAATCAGAAACTTCTTCGTTATCAATGTCATCTTCAACTTCAATTACTTCAACTTTTTTTTGTTTTGTCACGTTGCGCGTACTATCAGAACATTTTTGTTTCAATATTTCTACATTATTACAATTTGCTGATTAATGTAAACTAAAAACACTTTAATAACAATATTAAATAATGAATATCACTAACTTTTTGTGGGAGTTGCGCTCAAATTAGTCAAATTCGTTTGAGGAAAAACCTGTCCATATATAGGATAATAATACGGTGTTTGTAATAGTGGTGTGGGCGCAAATAATCCCTATACAATCCAAATGGAAATTGCGGTGCAGGTTGGAGAGCGATATGTTGTAAACCAAAATTAGTTGAAATAGTTGAGTAAGTTCCTTGAATATCACTGCATTCATGTGAACAAAGTGTATTAGTTTGTGTATGATCTTTTTTTTGAACAGTTTTTTTGCTTGATTCTTTTTTGAATTGTGACATTCTATTGGAAAAAATAATTGTTAATTATTCATATTTTAATATTAAAATTTATATTTTTAATATTTACTTGTTCGTAAATGAAGAGAGAAATTGGAAGAAAAAAGAGTGAGGGAATAATATATTACGAATATTTATGTATTTTTTTTTCACATTTTCTTTTTCTTGATTTTTTTTTTCACATTATATCATTACATTTAGTGGAATTTTTTCAATTGACACATTACATTTATATAACAAATTCGTTAGCATCGTGTTATATTTTAATTTGCTAGAGACACATTACATTTATATGACAAATTCGTTAGAAGTGGATCTGCATCGTGTTACATTTTAATTCGTTGGAGACACATTACATTTATATAACAAATTCGTTAGTAGATCTGCATCGTGTAAAAGGATGAGTTTATATTAATATCGATGGGAATATATGGTGTATTGGAAATGGTGCGAGAAAGTCTAAGAGAATTCATGAAAAAATATAATCAAGTTAAATGTAAAGCGGAATGGTTAACGTTAGACATGAATAGATAATTGAGAATGAATATTCAGGATATAGATATTGAGTGGAGATCGTCAGTACAGATGATTACTTTACTAAAAATAGCCAATTTTTTGAAATGATTTTGTAATAATTTTGAAATACTACAAAAATACATTTAATACATCAAAATGGTTTTATTATATTTTTGTTATTATTTTGTAATTATATTGTATCTAGGTCTATAAAAATAACTCATAATAATATCACAATAATTTTTTAATGTTTTTGTTATTATTTTATTATTATAATATAATTAACTTTGATATTATTTTAATATTTTAATCTCAAAAATACCTCAAATATATCTTGATATATTTACAAAATAATTGCACAATTGTTTTGAAAGCCATTGTATCTAGGTCTATAAAAATATTTCAAAAAATTGGCCATTTTTAGTAAAGTATGGCAGATCGTACAGCGACTCCAGATATGTTTGATTTTAATATACGAATCTTTCATGAAGCTATCAACCGCTTACTGGGTAGATCTCGAGATAAACGATACAAAAAGGGCATTATCAACTTTGTTAAAGATATCAAGGAATTTGTGAAAATGTATATATGGATACTAAATGGGAAAACAGTATGGAATTACAAAAAAAAAAATGAAAAGAATGAGTAAAAGTAATTGTACAAGAATTTTAAGTTATGGATCATGTAAAAATAAAAGACAAGTTTAGTAGAGACGTGTGCGACAGATGGATTGGGTATTATCATCTAGAAATGGTTAATGTTAGATGATTCGGATTTATGGACGTATAATAGATTTACATCTTTTAGAAGTTCAAGATACGCAAAAGATTATTCGATATTAGAATAGATAAATTAGATAGATAGATACTTTAATGAGAAGATGTGTATACGTCTATGTTATAATTTATTTTTGTAATTATCAAAGCTAAATTTTTTTTTCAAAAAAAAGATCTGCATCGTGTTACATTTTAATTCGTTGGAGCTGCGCAGCCAACCTGCAGCAATATCGTGACTTTTTTAGGCGATTTTAAATAAATATAACAAATACGAATTTTACAAAATTTTGCTAATCGATAATCTCACCAAGCCGCTGCTAAGTTGTTGCCTATCAATGTCATAGTACAATAAATTAAAAAATATGAAACGAAGCAGTTGCTTACCTGATGCCTATTGGTTACCAATAGGTAACAACTATACAACTGCTTCGCTTCAAATATACGGGTTTCAGTAAAGAATATTCATTTTGTGATTCTTTTGATTGCGAATCATATAAAAGTTTATAACTTCCGTTTAGATATTCTATAGTACATTTGCGAATTTTATTTCCTGTTAAAAGTGTACTAAGATCATTAAGTGTTCTGATAACATAACGGGATTTTTTTGTTCCATCTGTTGAGATATATAGACCTTTGATTACATTTGATTTATTACTTAATAATTGTTCATTCAGATTTGATACTTTTTCCATTTTAATGAAAAATTTTATTATGGATTAATAGCCTTAATTAACTGATATATAAAGAATTTTTTATAATACTGTATTATCAATATTAATTGAATAATAATACATTAGTTAATGTATTTTCTTTTGTATAATATGGTACTTTTTAAATCTTTCAGGTAATAGTACAACGCTAAATGTAATTTGGAATTGAACGTAGCCAATTCTTTTTTATTAGTAATTATCATAATAAATAAGTCATATACAGTCGCCACTGGATATAACGAACCTGCCGTTCCAAGCGTTTTGGTTCAGTATATGGTGAATTCGATATATGATATTCATATTATATACCAAACTGTTCGGTACTATATGAATTTTATCCAATTAAATTATAGCAGCATATACTGTAATATTTAAAGTTCGGATGATTACATGACTTACTATAAC